TTTGAAACTGGACCAAGGTTCCTATATAGCATAGATTCCTATACAAAAATAAGGATTAAGCACAAAAAGAGAGAGGCTATGATTACAATGGTTATGATTATGGTTTAGCCAAGGAATAAGAGGGGGGGGGGATTCAATCTTGTATCCCCGCAATCTTAAGTCACTAGTTTGGAATAGTTTGGTACTGTTTGGGATCATATAATGACAGCCACACTAACTGTGTACTGAAACATAACATGGATTTATACTTAACAGCACCTCCTACACAACACATTGTCAGATTCCTTCCAGAGGACAAAAATTCATTCTAGCTGTGTGCTATTAAAGATCAGAAGCTCATAGCCTTTTGACTGCACCACAAACATTAAAATTATATACTTGTGTGTGTGTGTGTGTGTGTGTGTGTGTGTGTATTGTCTCCGTGAAGGCCATAAAGTACCTGCATCTTCTTACAGCTGACCTTCCAGTTGATTGAACCTACAACATTTGTAAATCTGTGACCCAAAATAGTAGAAATCTGGCTCAAAACGTTAATATAGATTTGGAGGGGACTTGAGATTGGGATTTTTAGTTAAACACACTTACCATGGCTCCACAGCTTTTGCTCTTAAAACATCTCACATATTTCCCTTTTAATAGGGAGTTGTGCATTACTGCTTTGTTGGTGCCTCCATAGAGGTTACATTGTTACTGCTTCCGTAAGTATCTTTGTTGCTGGTATGTGCTCTTAAATTGCAGCTAGTTTACAGTGTCCCCAATGGGATTTTCAAGTCGCATGAAATATTTAAGGAGTACAGTAGTTTTTCCATTGCCACCTCCCATGGCATTTCTGTGGCCAAGTGGGGATTTGAACCCTGATCTTATGAGTCCTAGTTCATTACTCTCTCCACTACTCCACACTAGATATCAATATATTTTAATTATCACCATTGTTCTTCAATAGAATGTATAGTTGTGTCTCACATATTTCCCCTTTAATAGGGAGTTGTGCATTACTGCTTTGTTGGTGCCTCCATAGAGGTTACATTGTTACTGCTTCCGTAAGTATCTTTGTTGCTGGTATGTGCTCTTAAATTGCAGCTAGTTTACAGTGTCCCCAATGGGATTTTCAAGTCGCATGAAATATTTAAGGAGTACAGTAGTTTTTCCATTGCCACCTCCCATGGCATTTCTGTGTCCAAGCGGGGATTTGAACCCTGATCTTATGAGTCCTAATTCATTACTCTCTCCACTACACCACACTAGATATCAATATATTTTAATTACCACCATTGTTCTTCAATAGAATGTATAGTTGTGATACTCATTTTAACAATAATGACCAAAATATGTCAGATTATTTATTCAGCCCATGAAATAAGTTTATGTAAAAACACCCCTGTAGAATAGACAAAATTCATCATGACCCCAGTCTTGAGTTCCACTCCATTGCTGGGGTCGAACTCAAGACTGATAGGAGTTGTGGTTCAATGTATCAACATGTTCCCCACCCCCTCCTCTCCACTGACTCTCTGTGTACATCACAGAGGCATTTTTGCCATCCTTGCAAGCCTGCAATAGCAAAATTTCCATTACTGAGTTGCAGACTATACAGCTGCATTGTCCATTTCCAGTCATTCACTTCCTACACTAATTGCTCATTTCCTTTAATTTCTTACAGAAGAACATAAGCCAGCAATGTTGTATTCTATCTCATAGTGTCCTTTCTGGTGCACAGCACCATGTATTGGATGCACAGATATAATTTTGCAGGCTTAGCATTCATCTTAGGAGGAAAGGAATTAAACTTACACTAGCAATTCTACGTGGGAAAGCACTAAATGGATTCTTGCTGGACATGAGTTAATTCACATTACATGTTAGGAACAGAGGAGCAACATGGTGTGGGATTGTTCTTCTCAGGAGGAACCTTATGGTTCTTATAATGGAGAATTTGCTTTAAAGCTGTGAGATTTCTCTGATCTGTCAGCTCATGCTTGGTTGAACTGCTCAGTCTGTGAAGAGGCTTGCTTTTGAGTTGGAGACCTTGGCAAAATTTAACTGCAAGCATGCAGGTGGATAAAGCTAATGCTACAACCCAGGGTCATCTGTCTTGCATAATCATGGCGCAAAAATTGTAGTTTTCTAACCCTAGTCATTATTGGACAGAACTAGGTTTTGGTGGAAAGCATCTGATCTTGGAATATGTTTTCTGTGGATGAGGAATTCTGAATATCACACCAACATGCCATGGGAGCAAATTTGTAACTCTTTGTAGTACGCAGGAGCCGTCTCTTTACAAAACTGTCATATCCAGTAGCATAGCCATAAAGTCAGATGTTCAGGGTCCCTTCATTAAACTAAGCACAGACAACCATACACTTTTCTTCTGGAATGTACATGAGCAACCATTCACATGCTTCGCAATATGACTTAGTTACAGCTACAAGGGGCAGGGGAGAACAAGAATTCATCAGGAGGGAAGGGAGAAGCTAACCAGAGTCTAGCCTCCCACCTTCTTCTTGCACAGTTTGTGAACTTCAGGGGTGACAGCAGGCTATATACTGCTGCAACTTTCCTACTATGCTCTCTCCACCACATGCTTCTACCCAGCCTTCCTCCTCCCTTCTTCTGGACTCAGCAATAAGACATTATAGAACACATGCACACATGGAGCTGGGAGAGGGAGGAGAGAAGCAAAGTGTTCAGCATGATGAGTGAGTTGCAGGATGGTTCAATTTCTGGAGTTTAGTTGACACTTATGTGTGCATGTGCAGACACAGATTGGAGAGTAGAAAACCAAGCAGTAACCAAGTCATCCTAATCTGGCAAAGAGGGAGGCGAGTGGGAGGTTGAACTATCTCCCTCTGCCTTGGATGGAGCATGAGGAAAGACAATTTCCTCCCACCCACCCAAAGGAGTCTGAAGGGGAAGGGCAACATACCCCTATGAGACTCAAAGGGGAGTTTTAAAAGAGGGACCAGTCCAAAGAGAGACTAGGTGGTGGCTACCTGAGAGGAGAGGATGGATGGCGTGATCTGCAGAGCCAATAAGGAGAAATCCGGGAAGACCCTGCGCCTGCAGGAAGTGTTGGTGTTTCAACTCTCCATGGGGCAACATGACCTACACCACTGGTCATGTCTCACCATGCTGAGCCAGCTTCAGAAGAGGAGGAAGACCACGTGCAGCCACAGGAGGGCAGTGGGGAATGGAAATTCAGTGCCTCAATTGTCAGTATCATTCCAGAAGCTTCTGGAAGCAGCACAATCACCTGAGAAGTATCAGAAGAGAATGTAGTAGCTGTGAGGCCTATTTGTCCCAAGGAAAAAATGCAAGCTGAAAATATGAGAGCAAAAGCACAGCCAGCATTTCAAGGCTGTCTGTCTGAGTGTTGATAACATCTGGACACCAAGGAGAGCTGTAAATCTTGTGTGTGTGTGTTGCTGTTGGAGCCTTTGTGGGAGACAATATGGAAGGTCATCTCTCATTTCCTATTCCAAGCTTCCCATTCAGATACCTTAAACCTTTGACAAACAGAGTGCTCTGCCTGCTACCTGTTGTCAAGGTGATTTATCTATTTGGACGGAACCAACTGCCTGACTCACAAACAGCACTGATCTCCTACTGTATGATTTAAAATCTGGCTTACAACAATGCAAAGTACCCCAAAGTTTTCCATCTGCTGAGGTCCATTCCTACGGCCTTCAGATCCTGCTTGCAGATATCCTTGTATTGTAGCTGTGGTCTCCCTCTGGGGTGATTTCCCTGCACTGGAGGCAGGCAGTGCATCATGGTCTCTCCCCTTTTGAAGAGACACTTGTCCAGCAGGGCAAGGCAAAGAGGCAGTCCCAAAACCAGCAAAATCAGGGAGCTGGACAGGGGACAGATTATATTTGTCTTCAGTGTGGAAGGGATGGTCACTCTCCAATCGGCCTTCTCAGCCACACTAGATGCTGTTCCAAGACCTCTATTCAGAGCACGTTACCATAGTCTCCCAAGACTGAAAGATGTCTAATCTAAAACAATGCAGCTCCAACTCTTGCTGCCTGACGTATCACAGAGACTGGGATAAATTCAACTTTTAATTTTTGTGAGGGTCTGTAGTTTTCTTACAGATCCAGCTAGAAATGGTTGGGGAAAGCTTGGTTTGCTTTGTACATTAATCTAAAACAGAATGTTGTTGTTGACCCTTTGTTTTTGTTTTTTTCAAATCTTACCTTAATTTATTTAGTAACATATCTATTCCCAATTTGTACTGAAAAGGCAGTTCTACTGTATGCCTTCTTGGAAATAAAGTATGAGCGTGAAGTCAAACTCCAGGCCAGCGTGAGCCCAGCTTTGCAACACGCCTGTGTATCAGCAAGTGAAAGAGCAGATCTTGCTGTAGATTTGCTTTGCTGAGGGATGTGCAAACATATATCTATCCTTGTTAAAAGGACTGAGGAGACAAATGAAGAGAGAGTGACAAAACCACTTTAAGCAAAAGACTCCTACTAAAGCTGGCTTATTGGTCAGGAGGAGAGACGAGAGAGAACTCTATAGCAACTGCATGAACCAGGCTCATGATTTTATATAAGATTCTAGTAACTAAACAACCTTCAGTTTGCTGATTTACCCTATATACTAACACCTTCTGACAATAGATTTTGTAACATAAATGTATCATTTAGGACTTCATTTTGGAGTGTTTTGTATTATGTGTCATTCATTCAACAATTCTGTATGGAATATTCCACCATGACAAAAAATACACATGCAGCTGGCAATAATCACCGAGTGGTTAAAAAAAAGATTACATACCCTCATGTCCTATTATGGAGGGAACACAATCATTTCTTAATGAAATTGCATATGTCAGGCAAAAGGGAAGAAATATATAAATATACTCAGTTCCAAGCTGAAAGAGATGAATGATCTGCCCTTCTGCCTGATGCATTATAGATACAGGGATAAATGATGACTCTTCCATGAATGTTATTTATCCCATTTAATTAGAAATAAAGAATACCACAAGTGCTGGTTTCCCTTTCATGATTTTCAATTTGTTTTATTTCTTCCTTTGAACATCCCTTTAAGGGTGAAATGAAATCCAACCATTTACAGAGAAAATGATTTCAGTATGTACACTTTGATTTATCCTTACAAAAGTTATTTATAAATTAGACTTTAAAGGGCTTCTTCTACTTATTTGGCAAGTCCCACTTATTCCTTAGCCAACACAGGGCACAAAATTTCTGATTGCTAATATGAGAGATCCCATAGCTATCCTTCCCAGGACTTTTCCCTGCAGAATACTGCTCAATTGTTGCCTCAGAAATTAAAATAGACAGTGGTTGTATACCCCCACTGGCCATTTTTATATCCCTCCTAGATTGAAAATATATGGGCTGATCAACCAAAGACTGTACAATTGGGCTCCCTTCTCCCCTCCACCATCTTGCAACATAATGTTCTCAAGAGATACTGAGCTACAATTCCTATTACTCCGAATATAGTGTGTAGAACTGTAATTCAGCATATTCAGATGGTATTAGATTGTGGGAATATGGTAAAGCACTGCTATTTCTGTTTCTTTACAGTATGATTAAAGCCCTTAATTTCCTCCCCCTCTGTCCCACACACCCAATCTCACCACCTCCATATTTTCCCTTTTTAAATTTCCTCCAGAGAATAAGAAAAGCATTCTGAAGGTCGACAGAAATGGAGGTAGGTGGAATCCCTCTTTAAGCCATTCAGCTTAATGTTTAATAACCCCAGGCATCTTGTCCCTTGCATACCCCCCATGTCACCTTTTTGGGTCACATCTTCACCAGTAAAAGGCAAATAAGTAGACCAAAAAAAGACACAAAGCAAAGTGATTGGATAACAGGCAATAAAAAAAAAGTTGGTGCGAGTTCTAACCAGCTGTGATTTAAATGAAACCCAACTCAATATGGTTTTAACCTAAATGACTCAAAATGTCCTTCTGTGTCTGATGTCAGAAACAAGTTATGAATCTTCCATTTCTCTTCAGCAACTGAAAAACTCAATGTTAATGCAGATACTGGGACGATAATATGGAGCTACAGACAGACAAAGAAAGAAAAAGAATGCCCTTTCCCATAGACATATACAACTGAAAAACAGTTTGCGTGCAGTACCAGTGTCATCTCATTTAAAGTAGGTAAGATATGAAGAGCCCCTAAAATCACAAAGAACATGATTATGAGTAAGAATTAATACAAATGAAAACAAGCAGAGAATTGCAAGTGCCTGAAGACTCCATGTAGCTGGACATGTGCTTATATTGTATGAGACATTAAAGGGGGAAGAGATGGTAAAAAGACTGAAGCTTCTCTTCTATAAGGCCTAGTTTGTATAAGAGGGCAAAAAATTTCACTAGTCTGTACCATTGTAGGTTACAAGGAAGGGATTGCTTGAGAAAGTGACTCTCTAATTGAGAGGGGGAAACCCCTACAAACACAAAAGGAGCGTAGCCTCCAAAAGCCTAGGCTTATGACCCACACCTTCTTTTTCTATGTCCAGGGACTTCTTGTTTTAAACCAGAGGTTCTTAACCTTGGGTTACTCAGGAGTTTTGGACTGCAACTCCCAGAAGCCTTCACCACTAGCTGTGCTGGCTGGGGTTTCTGGGAGTTGCAGTCCAAAAACACCTGAGTAACCCAAGGTTAAGAACCACTGTTTTAAACTATAGTGGCATAGTCAACCACACCTGCAGCTAGGGAAAAGCACCATCCAGGACAATTGCAGCCTACGCTTGCCCACATCTGGTTCAGAAAAAGAGTTAAGAAGCAGGGTGCAACATCTTAGGAGGCCCAATAGGACCCTATGGATACAATGTAAGCACCCATCGGTCACCTGTGGGACACAGCTGCTGTCACTGGGTGTGACTCTGGATTTAGACTCGCCTAGAGGTTTGCTAAGAATGAGGTGGAGAAAGACTCATTGCTAGGCAACCACTAGGGGTACAGTTCCATCTCCTCAAGCTATTCATGGGAAAGAAGTTGTCAAGCCAGCCATTCGGGATCTCTGATGGGCAAAAAACAGACAGTTCTAAGTGTTGTGGGTACAGTTCCATTGGTATACTTACAAGTAGCCAACTGCAGGCCTCAGAGCTGAAAGAAGTTACTATTTGACCACTGGGCATCGTAGTTGGGCAATTCTTGGAGCTGTATTCCTGAAAAGTGCCTTTGCTAAGCTTTGGATGCAGCACTCTGGAGAAGACTGCTTTGGTCCTTCCAGCCCACAAGGGGAAGAACCCCTTGAACCCTTCAGTCCATCCTGTTTACTCTGCTGTTAAATTGTCAGAAGTTTGTTTGTTTGGGGGTTTTTTTTGAGATGTTCCCCTTTCAACGGTTTAAGACAGTGAATATAGATGCAGTGAATTTCCTACAGAGATTCTGTACATGCATTTACACTGATTTTAAATGAAAGCTGTAGCCCAATCAAACTAAACCTTTGAAATTACCGGAAGCAAAAGAATAACAGCACTGGCAGCTTCAAACATGTATGTGGCCACCGCTGCACTCCAGAAGGAGCAGTTTTGCCCTCCACCACCAGCTGACATTTAGTTTCGAGGTGCGAGGTCAGGCACTCTGTATGATATCATCACCCAGTTACCTTAAACTCACTGCAAGGTGGCACCTGTGTGCTGTCTCTTATTTATCTGCCCTCTAACCATGTGGGCCTCCTCAGTTAGTGCACACTCTTAAATCATCAAGAGACTCTTTCCTGAGGCTTATGAGCAAATGCTTGGCCTCTTCTACCTGTCACACACAGTATAAGATGTGAGCCATTTTTCAGAAGCTCCTCCAGGCTCAGTGCAAATCCATGTACCCAATCATCTCTTTTTTCTTTCCTTAGGAGTTCTGATTAATTGCTTCAAATAACTCATTGATTGCCAAGGCATTCCCCTAAAGTCATTCCTCCTTTAACTACTACCCCACCTGGCCCTCCGCTCTGTCAGCACAAACTCAATGTGTTTTCATTAGTGCAAAGTTCCTTAATGTCAACTCTGTGGGTCTAGGTTCCAGCTACAGAATAAATAATTGAACCAGCAGTCTTTTAAGGGGAAGTTTTCTTTGAAAACCAACTATATGAACAAGGGGGCAGTTGGGTTGTGGGTTTTTGTCTTTTGTCTTTTGTTTTTTTTTTAAAGAAGCCAAGCTTTTACTGTACATTCTCCCCCAACAGAGGTCAGTTTCAAGTTTCACTTTGGTGCAGTCAAAGAAGGAGACTAGAACAAAGCGCCCTTTCAGAGTCCCACAGGAATTCAGTACTAACTTATCCAGTTACAATGGGATCTGTTCCTTGTGCAGAACAGTGGAGGAGGGTGGGAGGAAAAGAACGAAGAAAATGGGGAAGGGGGGATGGTAATGGGAGTGAGGAAGGGGAAAAATGGTCAAAGCATTGCAGAAAGGATAAAGGAGGGGCTGAGAATTGCCGCACTGGGTTGCTCTTCAGAGACAGAGGGATGGTGCCCAGAGACTATAGAGATGGAAGAATTAAGAATTCATGAGCTGTAATTGTGATTGCCAGCCCTAGAGACACATGCACAAAGCACGCCCTGTCCAGCAAGTTCAGGGACGCAAGTGAACAAATGAGCTGGCCTAGATTAAAACAAGGGAGGGAGGGAGGGGTGCAATTTGCCATTTGAAACAGTCCAATATTGAGGATGTACCTCCTTGGGTGCCATTTCTTGATGGGCTATTTTTCTCTGTATTTGTGAACTCCGAAGCTTCATACCTACCTCTGGCTCCCAGCTAGGCCCTAACTCTCAGAGAGCAAGTGCACAGATTCTCCATGCCATAATAGTTGGAGAGTCTACCTTCCCACTGCTCAAACATCCACTAGTAATGATGAAGCAGAGCTTCGAAAATATTCATTTCTTCCATTTCTCTGTGTGGTAGTCCTGAGACTCACGTGTTTCACTGACTCCAGTCCTGAGCTACTGCTATGCTGTACAACAGTGTCGAGCTGGCTCTGCAAGTCACAACCGGTTCTATTAAACTTTTCCCCACTGGGCCCAGGATTAGGATCCTTCTCCATTGACAATGCAGCCCATTTTGTGGGGCAGCTAAATGCCTGACAAAGCAAGGACCAGTGTACATAAAGTGGGGATTTTTACATAGTCCAGGACTGCCTCATGGTAGTACACAAGGTAAATGGTAACAAAGCCATCCCTGGACTTCTCCTGTCTCAGAAAAGAGACTTCAAATGACTTCAGTGCTGTATTCACCTCAGTGCTGTCCATCTGATGCTGCAGTTACAGCTGAAATTTGGTGGCAACAAGGGCAACTCCCTACGGTGCAGAAGGGTGCCAGACGTTACTCCATTTTAATAAGGTGAATAGTTAGTTCATAAAACCATCCTCTCCGCCCACCTGCCCCCCCCCGTCACATAGCCCTTGACTGATACAAGGAGCCATCCTGCGATTGGCCACAGCACAAAAGCCAATTGCCTCTTTGTTGACATCCCCATTCCACAAAGGTTGCTACTAGAAGAGAAGTTATTGCTTCCAGGTACAGTACTATCTGAGTGTCTACAGGGCCAGTGGCAGCACCCAAAGGGTGAGTCCATGGTTAGTGATTTCTCATTTGAAAAAATGAACTTGCCAAGCACCTCGCAGAAACCAAACATCAGGCATGTTGGAGCATGGGTGGGGGGTGAAAGGAATTGTTGCACAACACATATGAACACCACCAGGTTGGCAAAGACTGCCAAACATGCACTGTTTTCTTTGTCTTCTGGAGGGAATGGGAGGAATTTAAATAAAAACAGGAAAGAGTGTGAAAGTGGAGGGGAACAGAGAGACAAATACAATACCAAACAAACAGACTGTCCTGATGGAAAAAAACACACACACACACGCACAAAAACCAAAACACCCATTTTAGTAGTGTGGGGCTTTTCCTCTCACTGCACACATCTCAACTATTTATTTCTGTAAGCATAGTGGCTCATTGCTTCATATATTTCCTTAGCAGCAAACATAACATGGGATTTGCAGTAATTTTCACCCTGAACTAAGAGCCAAAGACTCCATCAATTGATTGGAGACACACTGGAGCCATTTCAGTGAAGGACAAGGATGCAAACATCCACTGAGTACTGAAATACTTGGCAGGTGGATTTAACCATGGTCTCTTAATATCAGTTCCATCAAGCACGTATGCTCCTTTCCCCAATGCAAACCACCTTACCGAATATGCAAAAGTTCAGCTAACAATATAACATTGTCCTCAAAATGTTGGCATCATAGAGCCAAGTACCATTACACCTCTCCTGTTCCAGAAGCAGTAGGGTGGGCACTGGAAGGTTTGTATCCCAATGCCTCCTTTTCTTAGACACAGTTCAAAGCATTACACACACTCCCCATCTTAACAAAAATTGTAAACATCACATTTTGTTGCAAAGAGGGAAACGTGTGAACAATAGACACATCCTTTGCAAATCGAAGGGCCAAGAGGCCCTATTGCTGTCTTACTTACACATCGAAACCAGCTTGGCTGGCTGGCTACCAGAAACAGCACTTTCCCACTTTCATAGCCTGCCAGTTTGTAGAGTTTCCCTGAATGTCTGTAATCATGAGATGGAAAGCAGAGTTCTTTGGTGTTCCCATGCTCCCATGTTGTGGGAAGACACACTCTTACACCTTAATGTAACAGAGCACACGTGGCAAAAATATACATACTTGAGATGAGAACAACTCCTGTTGTGATCTACAAAACTTCTCCCTTATATATGCACTCTTGAGCACACGCACACACCCTTTTCTGGTGAAGTTTCCATAGCCAATTGTCTGTTTCAGCTATAAAGCAGAACGCTCACTATGTTCTTTGGCCAAACGCCATCCTATGTTTTTCAAAACAACAAAGGTAAGAAACTCCCACCTGCATTCTGTCTGCAATCTCTATGGGCCTAACAAGCGACAGTATTTTAGGAGAGCAGAGCCTGTGGAAGAGACACTGTTTTCAAAAGACTCAGAAGAAACAAAAACAAAAAAAAAGGGGGGGGTTGTCTTTCTTTCTTTTTAAATAAATGCAGAGTTCAACACCATCCTCATCTACACTCAATGACTGTAGAGGTGTTGGCACATTCACACCCTTGCACATCCAGCTTCAAGCCCCTGTGCATTACGATGTCACACAGAGAGGTGCGCCCTGCATCAGATGTTTTTCTTCTTCCCTCCTACAAAAGGGTTATGGAGCTGTACCTCCTGCTAGTTCTTAGGGTCAGTTCCCACATCTTCTGGTCTTCATTTACATGGTTAGGAATCCCCCTTACGCATATACACCCAGGTCCCTTGGGGCAGGCAGAGGCTGGAGAGAACATACACTTCCCCAGCAGAAGTGGGTGGGGGAAGGAAGGAAAACCAAAAGACACATCTGACTGTCCCCTTTTCCCATAAGGTCCCCTTTTCTCATGCAAGCCCCATTCCCGTCACCCAGCCCCCTCTGACTTCTGGTAGGGGTTCTCCAGTAAGTACCTAAATCGCTGGTAGTTCTTTAACAGATATTTTGGGGCATACATTTGTTCTTTGGGGTCTGCTGGAGGGTACTCCTGGGTAGTACCATCAAACCAACCACCAGTCCGGATCAGCTCCCGGATATAATTAAGGTCTCTTTTGTCCTCATAGTCACCCCAGCGGGGAAAATCCCCATTCTGAGCTGATACCAGTTTAAAGTAGATCCCTTCAGGTGTAAAACACCATGAGCAGTGCCAGCCAGCAAAATGGAGCGGACTGCCTAGCGACCACTGTACCAGGATGTGCCCTGTGCTGTTTTCATATTGTCGAAAGCCTGGCATGGTATAGTATTCTCTGCGACGTAAGCGAATCCCATCGGTAGCATAAACAGTCTGGAGCATCCCCACTGTGCAGCCAGAAACTACCTCGAGGGTGCCAGGCTGCTTCCAGAAGAATCCATAGAGAGATTTGCGCATATGGAAAGCAAAGGGCTCTGTCCAGCCATCGTAGAGTTTAAGAAAGAGCACACCGTCACGGGCTGGAATTTCATCAGCATCATCAATGATGAAGACATCATCAGGACGCAGATTACGGAGGCGGGAAATGCCATCCCGAGTAAGAAAAGTGCGTAGGTAGTCATCAGCGATCCAGCCATCCTGGCGACCACCAGGGGGGAAGTGGTCCAGGAAGACGTAGAGCACTTTGTGGCGGATGTAGTCATAGGAGCTGTTGAGCAGCATCTCACGGAACTTGAGGGGTCGTGGCTCGCCATAGGCTGTGAAATTTGACTCGCAGACCACGAAGGCATCCACCACATCACCCAGCTCGTGGAAACGCACATCCAAGAGGTCGAATTCATGATTTACATTGATGGCGTTAATGACTCTACGGGGTACTTCCCGAGGAGTTAGACGGTCTTTTGTGGGCAAGTTTGAGTACTGCACCACAGTGGGCACGCCACAGCTAGGTCCATGCCAACCGGGCAAGCACACACACTCCACCCACTTACGCCGCTTTGTCCCACTGGCGCTCAGAGGTTTCCGGCCTACTTGCCCTGAAACAGCTCCCTCGGTTTTCTCATCTGGCTTGCCTGCTGGTGGTTTCTCCAACACCTTGGTGCCCGGTTTAAAGCAGATACCGCCAGCTTTGGTATGTACAAAATATTCTGTAGTATCTTCAGGCAGCACAAACTCCACTTTGTGCAGCTCCTCACCAGCTCTGCTTGGAGAAAGGGGCTGGAGCAGAGGTGAGTGGGAGTAGAGTGGGGTGCGAAGGAAATCTGGGCCCCCAGGCTCAGGACTGACCTGAGGGGTAATAGGCGCATTGTTCCAGAAAAGGTTGGAGACCAGGTTGGGGCTAAGCGAGGCCAGTTCCCTGGGGAATGTGACGTATGAGAGGGCCTTTAGGAAGTGAAGGAAAGAGATGAGGCAAAGACCAGCCATGCAGAGAGTCAAAAAGAGCTTGTGGCGTCTCATCTTCATCCTAAGATTTTGGAGGTAGGGGAAGGAAGGAGAAAGGGAGAGACAAAACACAGACAGAGAATCATTAATATATTTACTAGTCTGCAGGAATTGCTTAACTGCAGGTCATTTAAAGAGGTTGTTGAGGCAATGGGGAAATTCAACCAAAATTAGAATGCAGAAATGAAATTTCAACCTCCCCAAATCATTTTCCTTGCCTCTTTTCGTGACCAGCATCTCTAGTAACCTCCCAGGTCCATCAGAATCCAGGAAGATTGACAAAACTCTGAATGATCCACAAATACCTAATTATAGGGCACACTGCATGAAATCCTGTTGCTTAGCATAGCAAGTCACAACTAGAGTAGACCCACTGAATCAGTGCGCACTTGATGAGTCAACTCCTCCATAAGTTCCATTGATTTGTAGGCCTACTGTAGTTGAGACTTACTATGTAAAGCAGCAGGATTTCAGCCACTATTTCAAGGAAACTTGTAGCACCAATTCTACACAATTATACACTTTTGAGAGATACGGATCTGTCCCAGTACTGCAGTTAGGTAATTTCCAATTTTGGATTTTTCAGTCATAGTTTGGAATAGTTACTATTTTGGACTACACATTTCAGAATCTTCCAACTGGCCAGGTTGGTAGAGAATTCTGGGAGATGTAGTCCAAGCAACTTTTCCCAAGTACTCATTCATTTGTCTTAGGTGTCCCACACCCACTTAAGACAGCCATGTACATGACTTTGACTTCCCAGTGTCACTTTCATTTTTTGTGTTTGGGGGCCCTCCTGCTCATTCTTGTGAGTGGGGCCCTGGATTTCTGCCCCAAAGTCTTACCTTAATAGCGATCCATCTAAAGGCAGAAATATATACTACCTCAACAAATGGGGGTTCCAAAGGTTTGGTTTTTTGACATAACCCAGATTGAGAGGGACCTTAAAGGCAAATCCGGTGTGTGTGTTTAACCCTCCTCAAGCTGAATTTGTCCTGCGAAGATTCTCAAGGACATCCCCAGTCTTCTCCCAGTCTTGTTCCCCCCCTTCCCATGGGTTGGACAAGCAGGCGGAGGATTTGCAGAAGAAAATCAGTAGTAAGTAGAAAGTTTAAGGTACACTTTTTAGATATTTCCCTGCAGAATTCCCCCACTTCCATATCCATCTCAAAGTAATGTTACAGGGCAAATGTAGGGTTAGCCTCATAATATCACATGTTGGCTGCATACCTCAGCGGTCATCTTTCAAAGTAGGTGCAGTTGAAAAACAGTGGTTTCATTTCACTAATACGAGACCAATGCTTGTATAGTCCTGGGCACGCGGCACGGACCTGGAGTGCCACCAGAAGAAGGGAAGGGCAAACCTGAGTTCTGTATAACTAGGAAATTCTGGCAAGGGCTATCATCAGTTGAAATCAACTTGACAGCACACAATTAAGTTGTATCCCCTGATTTTCAAAAGAGGTTTGATTCAGGACCCCTTACCTTTGATGTCTCGGGTGTGTTTTTTTAAAAAGGTCAATTCTTTCCTTCTGAGCTTTGTCTCCCTAACAGCACGCTAGTTAACAAAGAAAATAAGAATCTTTCTTCCCTTCCAAATTCTACACCGAGAGGATAGCGCAGTGATTTGGGTACTCAGCTATAGAGCCATATAGGTTGGGATTTTGACTCCCCACTGTGTTTTCCAGAACCGCTGGCCTGTACAGCTTTGAGTAACCCGTACAATCCCACAGTGTCTTCAGAAAAGGAAATGACAAAGTGAAAGTGGTGTATATATATATATATGAATAGGGTAGGATTTGTACAGCAAAGCTAAGATATAGACTACATTTCACAATTATTTAGAAAATTATATCAAAGTTATTGTTTATGTGTTTAAATGGCTTTGGCCCCTACTCTGCAGGGGCACATTTTTACACCTGTATTTTCATATGCCTTCTACCCGTGCTGTGACAGCATGAAACGATCACTGCTCAAGCTAAGCATATCTTGGCTGGCCCAATTAAAATCCTATTTACTATAAGGTGAATTCACAACATGCAGGGGTTGGCTGTGATCAGCACCCTTTCTGGGTGAGATGGGTACCTCTCTGCAGCTGCCTGAACTAGTAGGTCTCTTCAAAGGGAAAAATCCTCAAAAAATATAATGCTTTTCATCAATTTACATTTTACTAAACAACCGCATGAGATTTCATTCTGGATACTTCCTTTGGTGAGAGAAGAAGGCACCAGGGCAGCCTGAAGAGTGAGTCACCATTGATAAAATGCTAATAGCTGTTTGGAATTATGAATGGCTGCACGGAAAGTATCCCTCTGCCCCTCCACTTTGCTAGCTGTTTTATCTGGTGCCTGCTATTTGTTTAATTAATATAATTCATAAACTATTTTCAGCACTCTTGTACCTTTGTGATGCTATTTATTTTACTATATTTGGATTCTGGACTATGCACTTTACAAAAATAACACCTAGACAGCAAAATCGCAGCAAAAGGTAAACTGATAATCAGCATGTTCCTCATGAGTTATAAAAATATCAGAGGCTAGGACACAAATCAAACAGTTTCAGGGAGGGGAAGATTCAGATGTGGGAGCAGGATAAAGATGCCTTATTATTGCTGAATGAGTTGTTATTGTTGTTTTTCTTTCTTTATCAAGATATTTACCCTGAAGATCTTGGAAAGAAAGGTCTCCTGAAAGTGTACTGAACAAATTTGATAAAATAGTTCAACTATTATCTAGATACAGCTACAGATCTAGATAACAACTGAATTATTTTGACCCATCCAAATCATTATCTGAGGACCAGACTCCTCCAACTCCTGTTCTACGCACAGCTACCATGAAAAATGTTTGGAAATGTAACTGGTACAAAATAGCACTGGCAGTTTATTGATTGGGGCTAGTTGAATACAACCTTTAATTCTACTCTTAAACAGTCTGCCTATCTATTTTTGGGTTCTGTTCAGGTAAAGTATCTCATTTCTAAAACCTTAAACAGCTGGGAACTCAAGAGTTTTAAATTCTACCTTATGCTGTATGTACCCCGTTTGTCTATTCTGTTCAATACCTGTGGCCACGTTGACTGAAATGCAGCAAATATTCACTATGAGCAGGGCCTTTTTTGTTGTGGTGCCAGTTCTAGGGAATGACCTTTGTAGGAATGCCTTTTAGACACCTAGCTCTTCAGAAAGGAAAGGCTTTGTTTGGCTCTGTGTGACTTACAATCAATAGTTTTCCTTCCAGCTAATGTTTGATACACCTGCTCCTTAAGGGATCATTAATATGGATGAGACCCTATCCAGCACCCAACACTATGTGGGGCTCCTGCTAATGGTGATGCAAAAACCACCAGCCGCCATTTCTCCCTCCTACCCAGCAGTGGCACTGTGGCAATAAGCTGGAGAGCCAACAGCCCAAAAGATCTCTAGTTCATTACTGAACTGCTGTGCAAAAGCAGGTGCAAGGGGAAGACCGACAGGTGATGCAATGTGGTGAAAGTGGCCTTGGTGTCAGAGATGACAGGTAAAATGTCAACAGTAATAGGTTCTACTGGAGCTAACAGGCCCTGGCTAGTATTGTAGTATACAGTATTGGGTGCTAATGCTGAGCCTGGCAGATAGCGTGAATGTTGTGCTTTACTTGCTGCTGCTGAAAAATGTATAGCTCAGTCTGTTGCACACTACTTTATTTGTGTTTGAGGAGACAGAGACTAAATGTGTGTGTGTGCATGCGCATGTGTCCGTGCGCACTTGCATGCATTTGCTTTTCGTGGCAAAGGCAGGCCTTGAACTGTTGAAATGGGCTGATGTGGTCTTGTGTGCAACAGAGACTGGATTCTTTGTCTTCAGAAGGATAAGAATGGGTCATGCAAACGAGAAGCAGTTTCAGATGTCACCACACTTCCAAGCGTAGGAGCTGCAAAACGAGTGCAAGCTTAGGATATCAGGGCTAATACAGGTTGCTCATCAGTAAATTGAAGCAAGAGGAGTGCTTTCTAGTTTGGAGGATACAGTTGAAGATGGAGCAAACCCCACAAAACTAATTTGGGCCACTTACGGAAACGGCCAAATTCTGGTCAGTTGAACTCAAAAGATCGAAGCTCTCAGCTGAAATGCAGTTGTATTCCTTGAAAAAACGACAGTGGAAGTGCTTAGTGACTTTTGAACCCACCAATGTGGGGAGTGTCTGCAGGAGTAAGATCACCGGTTAACAACACCAACTGCATATGGTAACTAAGCAGCCACAACCCGTTAATTATTTTAAAAGCAAATAAATCTGTAAGACTTTACATTAACTGAGCTAGACACTGTTAGTCTTACATTCCCTGTTAAGGGTGCAATTATTGGCATGTTTACCTGGAATTAAGTCCCACTGTGTTCAGTGGCACTTGCTTTCCACTAAGTGTGCTTAGTCAAGCCTGGCTGAGCACAGTGGGACTTTTTTCTGAGCAGACATATATAAAGTTGTGGCATAAAGCTAACCTCCCTAAACATCTATGTACTAGGTACATTAGTTGTCTTTCAACCTTTTATATGTTACTTTAAAGTTTATCACTAAATGTATTTTGCCATAAACAATGAATACGCCACTTTTTCCACACTGAATTAATATACATAATGATTGAAGTCAGAGTTGATCTGCGCTCTGAGCACCTCAGCAGGGTGGGATAAAGCATGGTTCTTATGGGTGGGACCACAAGGTGCCCATTAGCATTTAATAAGCTTCAAATGTCATATTTTGTATATTAATTAATTAATTAATTTGATTTTTCATATCGCACCTTCAGTGAACATACTACTCTGAGTGGCTTACAATAAAACTCAGAACCCACATGCCCCATAAAACAATACATTTCATATGGGAGTTCCATAAATCCAGATTTAAAACTAATACAAGAAAGAAAGAAAGAAAGAAAGAAAGAAAGAAAGAAAGAAAGAAAGAAAGAAAGAAAGAAAGAAAGAAAGAAAGAAAGAAAGAAAGAAAGACTGATTTAAAAATAATAATACAGAATCCAAGGATAAAT